GGTACTGAGTTCTGAAGGTCATTGTGAGGACTTTGGCTTTGGGGGAGCCAATTGATCTGAATTACTGACCTACTAGTCACTGAAAAAATTTAAATGTATTTAGGGAATAATTAAATGTGAAGATGTATAAATTTACAGTGCTTTTTCTTTCTTTCTTTTTGGTCTTTTTGAGACTCTGGGGTCTCCTTATAGCCCCAGCTGACCTGGAACTCACTATGTAGACCAGGCTGGCCTTGAACTCACAGAAATCTGCCTGCCTTTGCCTCCTGAGTGCTGGGATTAAAGGCATATGCCACCATATTCAGCTCTTTAAACTCTTATATAATGCATGTACTTGATATTAATGTTCTATTATTTTTAATATTTATTTTTATTTTTGTTATTTTGAGACAGGGTTTCATGTAGCCCCAGCTGACCTCAAACTACTATGAAGCCAAAGATGACTTTGAACTTCTGATCTTCCTGCTTCCCTTTCCTGAATACTAGGATTACAGGCATGTGCCACTGTGCCAGACTATTAGTATTCTAATGTATTCTACTATTTTGGTTTTGGTTGTACCTTTATTTATTCACTTATTCATTCATTTTGTGCATGTGTATGTGGCATGGCACACACATGGTCTGATGACAACTTTTGAGTGTCAATTCTCTCCTTCTGTCATGTGGGTTCCAAGGATTGGGTTCCAGGGATAGAACTCAAGTTACTAAGCTTGGCAGTCAGCTCTTCCACCCACTGAGCCATCTTGCAGGCCCAGTGTTTCATTTTGGAGACAGGATCTTGCTATGTAGTCCTGGCTGACCTGCTACTGACTATGTACCTCAGGCTGGCCTTGAACTTGTGGCAATTGTCCTGCCTCCCTCTCCAAGATGCTAGGATTCCTGGAGTAAACTACTATGCATGGTTTAATTCTAAAATATTCTTGTAAAAAATAAACTGCAGTGTCTTGGTTAACATGCTTTATGATTTAGGCACACATAGTCACAAATGCCATTATTTTGTGCCTTTTATCAATAAAAAATATTTTGAGGTGCAATGTATATTATTGTTATACAAAGTTTCTCTCATTCTCTTTCTGGTTAATGAAATCATAACCTTTTACCTATTATCTTCCTCTCAAGGGAAACAGAAAGTTGTTGGCTACTTAACATTTTTGACTTTTGTTCATTAAAAAGGATTTTTTTAAAAGATTAGTAGATGAAATTTGTATGAAGAATAGATTCAGCCTTAGATAAAAATTAAACAGCAGGTCAAATTTGGCTTTGTTCTAGCTTGTCTCTCTATTGCTGTGACAAAACACTCTGACCAATACCAACTTGGGAATGAAGGGGCTTATTTGGCTTACATCTCCCAGATCACAGTTCATCAGGGAGCCCAAGGTAGGAACTCACGGCAGGAATCTGGAGGTAGGAGCTGGAGCACAGGCCATAGAGGAATGCTGCTTACTGGCTTGCTTCCTGGCCCAAGCTCAGCTTGCTTTCTTATACAATACAGAACCACCTGCCCAGGGGTGACATCACCCACAGTGGGCTGGGCCCTCCTACCCAAAAATCAAGAAAATACCCCACAGACATGCCACAGACCAGTCCAATGGAGGAAATTCCTCAGTTGAGGCTTCCTCAGCCCAGGTGTTTCAACATGACAACTAAATGTATCCAGTACAGGCTTGCTCTTTCTCTTTGAGTTTAGAGACAGTCAAGTATTTCTAATGCTTCGCACTGTGCCCTGCACAGTACCTAGCATGCAGTAGATGCTCTTTATATATATTTAAATTAGTGCCCATTTCCTGGCACTTTTCTCATTCTTAGAGATTTTGTATGTTGCCCATCTCTGAGTGTTGGCATTTAAAAAGACTGCCTGCCAGAGGAAGTGGGAAACCTCTGTGTAAAGCTATGAGCCACCAGTGGTTAAACGTCAGAGTCAGGCGGAGTTACTTTAAAGAGAGGAATTTTCCCAGAGAGCCCCTTTAAGGCACGTCAATGGGCAACTGTATACTCTGTTTTGTCATCAGATCATATGGGAGTTGAGGAATTAAGAATTGCATTTGGTAAACAGCCTTTGTACACAACATCCTTAATTATTTCTATTTCTCAGTTCCTGTGCCAAAAATTCATCTGAGGCATTGGTTCTATAACAATTCCTGTTGTTATAGGCAGATATGGAGGGCACCCATTGGGATTTAGGGACACATGGGTAGTGGTTGAGATAAATATAGCTTGTTAAGGGAGAAAAACATGGGCCAGAGATGAACAAAGGTCAGAGGCTCAGTGCAGGGGTCACAAGAGTTGTGATTCTTTATGGTCATTTACATAACACCTGCCTCCTCAGGCATGCTCTGTCCCTTATAATGTAGCCTTTGGTGATGATAGTAAGGGTTCCAGGGTTTTCTCCATCATTGATTGCTTTTTTTGTGAGTGTATGAATGTCTTGCCTGAAAGTGTGTAAGTGCACCTGTGTTATGCAATGCCTGTGGAAGTCAGAAGAGGGAGTCGGATGCCCTGGAACTGGAGTTACAGGATGGTTGTTAGCTGCCATGTGGGTGTTGTGAAACAAATCCTGATCCTCTGCCAGAGCCGTCTGTGCTTGTGAAACAAATCCTGATCCTCTGCCAGAGCCGTCTGTGCTTTTAACTGCTGAGCAGTCTCTCCAGGCCCCCATTGATTGCTTTCATATGTTAATCTCTCTACCTTACCCTTCTGCCATGGTAGGACATTGTAGACTATTCAATTATAGATTGTATTACTTAGGAGGACTTGAAAACTGTCAAGCAATACTAACTATATTTGTATAGCTCTGACTCCTTGTACCTCTGACATCTAAAGGCCTGCTGCAGTTGTGGCTGAAAGATGATGAAGGGTGGCTTCTAAGCTGTCAAACTGCCTGCAGTAGCAGTCTGTCTTATGCTTGGCCAGATTGTCCATGCTAGGGCTAAAATATCCTTATTGTGTTTAGCTTTGTGGCTCCTCAGCTCTGGAGAGACTGAGATAGTAATGTATGCAATGGTTCCAAACAATAAAACAACAACAACAAAAAACCAGGGCTGGGCTCAAGTTACAGTGGTGAAGATGAGTTTTATTAAGGACTATTGCGACAGAAGAAGCAGACTCAGGTGCAGAGCTGTGCTCTGTTCTGAATATGCTAGGGATTAGTAAGGACTTTATTCAAGGAGCAGGGAGTAGGTAAATGGAAAATTGTTAAGAGGAGCAGTCAACTTGGGTGAATTCTGGCTGCACCAACCTCACGGCAGTCTTATTAAAAGCAGGTCAGATACCAAAGGTGGGGACTGAACTGTTATTAGACAGAGTGTGAGTGTGTTCTTCCTAAATTACCTTGACAAGTGCTAAAACTGGAGTTTACAAAGACATGCACATAACACGGAAAGGGTTCAAAGTCTGACCAAAGTCTGACTTACAGAATCTTTGCCACAGGGCCCACTGTCCACAAAGGTGTGTGAACAGCCCTAGGATGGGAAATGTCCCTGAATCCAGAATTGAACGCTCTTGCACTTTCATGAGTCTCTTTCTGGTTCTTGAAAGAAGTCTAAGGTGTGACTACCACAGTTTTCCCCAGGCCTCAAAGCTTCCTCAAAGGTAACCCTGCTTCTCTCTTCTGAAGCTTCCAGGAGATAAGTTGGCATTTCATTGAGCATAGTGTCCAAGCAAAACACGGCTCTTGGTCCCAGGGTAGTCAGAGATAGTTTATTCTTAGGTGTGAGTGAACATCGTTTAGGAATACAGATTCGGGTTTCCACCCGAAACATATGCTGTACTGGGGAAGAGGTTACACGGGATCTTACAGTCTCCAAAAAAAAGGTCACCAAATCAATACATTTGCCAAATAAGGACATCCGGTGGGCAGCCTACACTACAGCAGGAAAATTCTCGATTAATGATATTCTTTGCTTGAACGTTGCTGAAAAGCTAGTCTGCTAGCAATACATTCCTAACGTTTCCTTAAGAGTCGCGAAGATGTTAGGTCAGCTACAGAGGTTTGCAAAAGTGGCGATTAAGGGGTCTAAAGATAGCCCAACATAATTACGACGCCTGGTCTGCAACATTCCATCCTTCTCCGCACAATGGTAAACTTCTTCAACACAGATGTGCTTTTAACTCCGGATTATGGCAGGAAGGAACGACTGCGCATACTCTGGAGTCGGGGGAGGCGGAGCCCGAGGAGCCGCACAGGGCCCGCCCCTCGCTCTCATTGGTCGAGAATACACGCGTCACGCCGGTGACCCCAGCGTGCCCTCCCAGCGGGGCGGGACTCCGGACGCGCGAGGCGGGGTCCGTGCGCACGCGCTGAGGAGTAGGCCGGCCTCTGGGCGGGGGAGGAAGAGGTGGTATTCCCGGTTTCCCGGGTTACCTGAGGGGGCGGGGGTGGGAGCTGGCGCGGGCCGGGCGGCGGCGGCGGCGGCGGCGACTCTGAGGGAGCGAGCACGCTGCTGAGGGAGCGAGCGCGCGGCGGGCCACGGAGCTGAGGTAAAGGCGGCCGCGGGCTCTGCGGGAGTCGGGGGGCTCGACCCCGTGCTGCATGGCGGAAAGGTGACGCTCCTCCCGGCTGGGAGCGCGGGCGCTCGGGGTCCGCTCGGCCCCTGACCGCGAGCTGCCCGGGCCTCGCGGGCTGTGGTGGCGGCGCGGAACCTCCTCGAACTTTACTTCCCGGCCGGCTGGCGCGGCTGGTCGGTGCCCCGGGGTGCACTTCCCCCCAACCCGGCGCGCGTCCGGTGGTCCCGGTGGTCCCGGACCGCGGGACCCATCAGCCCTGCGTGACCTCCCGGCGGCCCCGCTCCCCGCCGCCGGCCCACCTGTCATCCCACTCTCGTGTCATGCCACCCGAGTCTCCTCCCTGCCCGTGACGCTTGCTCCGGGATGACAGCCCCGGTGCCCGGGACTCCCAGACACCTCCCACCCTGGTCCCGAGCATCCCTGGAGCGGGGCCGAGATGCTGGCGTTAGGGAGATGGCCGTGGGAGTCCCCGCTGCCGCCGTGGCAGCAACGGTGGTGCCTGGTGCAGGCTAGATTTCAGCGGCTTATCCGCGGGGATAAACAAGGCGGAACGTCCCAGCGCCGAGCCGACCGCATGCAACCGGTAACAGCGCCTGCTTGATTGTTGATGGAGTTTGTTTTAAGCAGAGAGAAAAATGGGTGTTGACTCTGTTGAATACACTGTTGGTGTTGAATTCGGGCCAGTGTTTCCTGAAGGATCGAATTCAGCCCGCATTTTCTCTAGGGTTTGTGTAACCTGTTCATATGGCACACTGAATTGAGCTTTTCCTCCTGAAGGTTCTTGGTTGTTCATATTACTTTGAACTTCCATACCTAGAAATCTCATGCTAATAAAGATGTTGACTCTTAGCCTTTATTTTATTTTATACATGTCGCTACTTAATAGGGGTGCCTGTTTTAAAAAGTGCTTTGCAAGTTCGTATTGATCTCTTTGCTGGAGTCTGCATTGATACGGAGATACATACTACTATGGAGAGAATTTGGAGGAGAGAGGACATAGGGAAAAAACGAATTACTGTAATTTAATTTACAATAAAATACTTTGCAGACTATAAAGTTACACATGTATGTAAATATGTAAATATTTGTTGAGCAATTTTCTAAATAGATAACCCCTCTTTCATGGAACGTGTTCTACTGGAGGAACCTTGGATGGATGGATGGGTGGATGGATGGGTGGGTGGGTGGATGGATGGGTGGGATGGTAGATGGACTCTGTATGTGTCAGATGGCATTAAAGACTATAAAGAAAAAGCAAGGAGGAAGTAGGACAGGGAGCCACAAATAGGTTGCACTTTGATTAGTGACAGTCAGGAAAGGCCTCCTGGAGAAGATGACATTTGGTCCATGGGAAGGAAGTGAGGGGTGACCCAGGCCCCTTTCTAGGGCAAGGGTGTGAAGAGGGAAAGGCATTTGCAAGAGCCTTGAGGCAGGAGTGTGGGGACTGGAGCTTATTTGCCTGTGGTGAGGCCAGCCAAGATTTGTGGAATTCTGATGGCTGGAAGGCCTTACAGGTTTTTGTAGGAAGGAGTCATCCTTTTGAGTTAATAGTATAACCACATTCCCCTTTCAAAGGGGTTGTACTATGGCTAGATACAAAGTATACTTTCTTTGGGGGAATGAGTCTGGCAGCAGCTTCAGAAGGAAGGATATCAAATGGTGGGGGGCTATGGCATAATGGCATTCAGCAATAATGTAGGCTGGATCAGAATGGAGTTGGTGGCTGTGGTAAGAGGTTATTGGTTTCTGCATAAGTTGAAGGTAGAGATATAGGAGACACCAACATTTTTGTCCTGAGCAAGAATAGAGTAGATGAAAAGAGCTTTGAGTAGATTTTAGTGGGGAGTTTAAAAGACCATGAAATAGACATCCAAGTGTAAATTATTCATGGTGGATATTAGTGACTTTGTATTGCAGAAACTTCTTGTTATCTTGCCTATTCTAGAGGCTTAATATATGTTTTCTCTCATAAACCAGCTTTTACTTCATGCTCACTTCCCTCCCTCCCTTTCTCCCTCCCTCCCTTCCTTCCTTTCTTGATTTGGTCTTTTTGAGATAGGACTAGATAGAACTCATTGGTAGACCAGGCTGGCCTAGGTCTCACAGAGATCAGCCTGCCTCTGCCTCCCACGTGCTGGGATTAAAGGGGTGCACTGCCACGCCCCACTCACTTTTTTTTTTTTTTTTAAGAGCTGGGCCTTGAGCATGCTGGGGGAAATCCTCTGCCCCTGAGTGGTATCTCTGACTTCATGATCATTTTCTTTTTAGCTTTTTTGAACTAACCTAGTCATTCATATTCCTAAATGTAGTGTTGTGTTTGTTTGCTTGATCTTTGCCCATGTATTTGTTAGTTTTAGCCACAGAGAAACTCATATAGTCCCAGCTACTGGGGAGGCTGAGGCACGTGGTCGTGCATACCTTTAATCCCAGCACTCAAAGGCAGGGGCAGTTGAATTTCTGTGAGATCTAAGCCAGCCTGGTCTACATAGTGAGTTCCATCCAGGCCAGCTGGGGCTACAGGGAGACTCAGCCTCAAAAAGATACCCCCCTCAAAAAAAAATCTAATCTACAACTCCAGAATATCTTTTAAAGTCTGCAGCTATATTTAACTTAAAACCTTCATCTGATTTATCTTTTTTCTGAATTATTCTTAGATGTCTCTTAAAAAGAATTTAAGCCTCAGAAATACTATTAAATGTGGCTTTGCTTGGCCATTTGTGAAATTACAGTAGAAAGGACCTGATTTTTAAGTTTACTAATAAGTCAGTAACATAGAGATTATCCTAATTCTTTTGTTTCATTACTGATGGCTTGAAATAAATGGGCCATCACATGCTAAATGGAGTTTTTTTAATGTCAGAGTATAAAATATTAGTGCAGTATACTTTGATCTGTAAAACTTGGTATAGTACTTCAGTAGTTCCAGCTGCTGGGGAGGCTGAGGCAGGAAGATCACAAGTTCAAGGCTAGCCAGGACAACTTAACAGCTCAGTGAGACCCTGTCTCAAAAATAAGAAAAAGGAGTTGAGGATGAGGCTTAGTATAACCAAAGCAGGCTTTGAAGATTCTAAACTGTATGGTTGAATGGTCATGTTAATTGTTCTTAACTTAAAAAAAATATTTTAT